TCTTGTACTGGCTAAAGTGCGCACGCTCAGTGGTCGGTAAGTGGCGGCGAACAGCAAGGCGAGCAGCAGCATCACGTGTGGCCCAGTGAGAGCGAACAGTGGCGTCAGTATCAGCAGCAGGGGCAGGGGAGGCACCAGAAGTGAGGTCAAACAGGGAGAGGCCGTCTGCCCTATCGCACTGCAGAAAAAGCTGTAGATCATCTACCCAGACCTCAAAGTCCAGTGCCCGACCCTCAGCGTCAAAAGTAAGGATGCTAGGGGAAGCCATAATAGCAATAGGCAGGCAGTGAGCGCAGTGAGGCAGAGAGTGAGCTATTACCAGGTAGGTGGGGCGATCTGGCTGCTCGGCGGCTCGGCTGCAGGGCGGCTCGGCTGTACGGGCGGCTCGGATGTACGGGCGACTCGGCTGGTGGGCGGCTCGGCTGCTGGGCAGCTCGGCTGCTGGGCGGCGTGGCTGTCGGGCGGCTCGGTTGTCGGGCGGCTCGGCTGCTGGGCGGCTCGGCTGCCTGGCGGCTCGGTTGCTGGGCGACTCGGGCGGTTGGGACGGGGCCGTAGCAGGGGCCTGAGTGGGGCCGCAGTGGGGCCGAAGTGGGGCCGACGGGGCCTTAGTGGGGCCGCAGTGGGGCCGAAGTGGGGCCGACGGGGCCTTAGCGGGGCCGTAGTGGGGCCGATGGGGCCGTAGCAGGGCTGTAGCGGGGCCGCAACGGGGCCTAAGAGGGGCAGACGGGGCCAAAGTGGGGCCGTAGCGGGGCCAACAGGGCCGACGGGGCCGTAGTGGGGCCGAAGTGGGGCCGATGGGGCCGTAGCTGAGGCTGTAGCGGGGCCGATATGGCCTTAGCGAGGCTGTAGCGGGGCCGTAACGGGGCCGAAGTGGGGGCCGACGGGGCCTAAGTGGGGCCGCAACGGGGCCGACGGGGCCGTAGCGAGGCCGCAACGGGGCCGAAGTGGGGGCCGACGGGGCCTAAGCGGGGCCGCAGCGGGGCCGACGAGGCCTAAGCGGGGCCGAAGGTGGGCTAAGCGGGGCCGACGGGGCCGTAGCGGGGCTGTAGCGGGGCCGCAACGGGGCCGAAGTGGGGCCGACGGGGCCTAAGCGGGGCCGCAACGGGGCCGACGGGGCCTAAGCGGGGCCAATCAGGGCCGTAGCGGGGCCTAAGCGGGGCTATAGCAGGGCCAACGGGGCCTAAGCGGGGCCAACGGGGCCTAAGCGGGGCCGACAGTGGGCTAAGCGGGGCCGACGGGGCCGTAGCGGGGCTGTAGCGGGGCCGCAACGGGGCCGAAGTGGGGCCGACAGGGCCTAAGCAGGGGCCGCAACGGGGCCGACGGGGCCTAAGCGGGGCCAATCAAGGCCGTAGCGGGGCCTAAGCGGGGCTATAGCGGGGCCGACGGGGCCTAAGCGGGGCCGACGGTGGGCTAAGCGGGGCCGACGGGGCCGAAGTGAGGGGCCGACGGGGCCTAAGCGGGGCTGCAACGAGGCCCGTAGCGAGGCCTAAGTGGGGTCGACAGGGCCTAAGCAGGGCCAATGGGGCCGTAGCGGGGCCAACGGTGGGCGGCTCGAGGGGCAGTAAGGGCGGCCAAAAGGCGTCTCGGGGCGCTACTCGAGTTAGGAGGTAAGCGCGCTCCGGGCAGAGGAGAAAAAAAAAAAAAAAAACGTGGTGGGCCCTAGGCAATATTCCCACTCGGGAACCTGCTCGATACCATGACGAGAAGTGAGAATGGATGAATGAACTATGAAAAAGTTGGGTACAAGTACTCACCCTAATTGGGTTGTACCCCATATAGGCTACCCCACTATAGCCTATACAAATGTATAAGCTATAATGTTCTGACACCAGGCATTGAGACTGCTGCTCTAGGTACTCGTGAGACTGCTGCTCTAGGTGCTAGGGAGCCTGCTGCTCTAGATGCCAGTGCGTCTGCTTCCTCAGGTGCTGGTGAGTTTGCGCTCTCAGGTACCGCGTCGGCTTCGGCCTCCCTCACCTTCACTCTTGACTCAGGGGCTTCTCGCTCCTTCTTTTGAAACCGCACCACACTCACGCCGCTTGGTCGGCCAGTTGCAGTCTCTCTTGCAGACCCCTCTAGGGGTCCTGTCCTTTCTCACTTCTCCACTGTCCTCCCGTGTTCGGTGGCCCCCTCTGGCACCTTGTCTGGTCTTTACCTCCCCTCGTTCTCTACGAACTTGGTGAGTGGTGCTGACCTACAGGATGCGGGGTTCACCAGTTCACTCCTGCGAGTCAGCGGGTGACCCACTGCACGGACGCTCGCACAGGCCGACACCTGGCCACGTTTACACGTCAGGCGGGGTCGAGCATGTACACTCTGACCACTGAGTCTCCTCCTGTCACTGCGTCTGGTCAGGTAGCTGCGTCGGGTCAGGTGTTTGCTGCAGCGTCCAGGTCTGGTCCTGAGTCTGCCCCCTGCTCGTGTCGCCTCCTATCTTACGAGACTCTCCTCTAGCACCACCGCCTTGGTCACCCCTCCTTGCCTCATCTCCGAGGCATAGCCTCCCGTGTCCTTGTCTCTGGTCTTCCCCGGTCCCTCCCTCCCCTCCCTCCGGGGCCTGGCCCTACCTGCGTCCCCTGTGTCGAGGGGTGGCAGCGGGCTGCCCCTCACTCCTCCGAGTTTCCTCCAACAGAGGCCCTGCTGCAGACGCTTCACATGGACGTGTGGGGCCCGGCCCGCTTCCGTGGACAGGGTCACGAGTGCTACTTCCTGCTGGTAGTTGACGACTACTCGCGTTAAACCACAGTCTTCCCCTTGCGCAGCAAGAGTGATGTCACTGAGGTGTTGATCGACTGGATCCGCGCAGCTCGTCTCCAGCTCAGGCATAGCTTCGGCTCGGACTTTCCTGTTCTGCGTCTGCACTCTGACCGAGGCGGAGAGTTCTCCTCTGGCCTTCTGCGAGCCTACTGTCGAGCACGAGGCATCCGCCAGACCTTTACGCTTCCGGACTCTCCACAGCAAAATGGGATTGCTGAGCGTCGCATTGGCATGGTCATGGACGTCGCCCGTACGTCCATGATGCATGCGGCTGCCCCTCATTTTCTGTGGCCGTTTGCGGTTCGGTACGCGGTGCATCAGATCAACCTTCACCCCAGGGTCTCCATGCCGGAGACCTCTCCAGCTTTGCTGTGGACGGGGAAGGTTGGCGATGCGTCTGCGTTTCGGGTCTGGGGATCTCGGGCGTTTGTCCGTGACTTGTCTGCGGACAAGCTGTCCCCTCGTGCTGCTCCTTACGTCTTCCTTGGCTCCCCCCCTGACGCGCCAGGGTGGCAGTTCTACCACCCCACCTCTCGCCGTGTTCTGTCCTCCCAGGACGTCACGTTTGACGAGTCGGTCCCCTACTACCGCCTCTTCCCCTACCGCACCCCGTCCCTCCCCCCGCCACCGCTCCTCCTTGTGCCAGGTCCCCCCCTGGTAGACCCCCTTCCCCCTCAGGGTCCTGCCCCTTCAGGTGTGTCCCAGGTAGACGCAGTCGAGCTTGTCGAGGTTACTGGTGACTCTAGTGCTGCTGCGGGTGCTGAGCCTGGGGGTGCTGCCTCTAGGGGTGCTGAGCGTGTGGGTGCTACGCCTGGGGGTGCTGAGCCTACGGGTGCTACTACTGGGGGTGCTGGGCCTGGGGGTGCTGAGACTGGGGGTGCTGAGCCTGGGGGTGCTACGCCTGGGGGTGCTGAGCCTGGGGGTGCTACGCCTAGGGGTGCTGAGCCTGGGGGTGCTACGCCTGGGGGTGCTGAGCCTGGGGGTGCCACGTATGGAGGTGCTGAGCCTGGGGGTGAGGAGCCTGCAGGAGCTGGGCCTACTTGTGTGGCGTCTGGCGGTGCTGGGCCTGGAGTTTCTCCGGGTGCTTCGTCTCGGCGGGAGCCACTCTTTCCACAGGAGCTGCGCGAGTGGTTTGCCCGGCGCTGGAGGCGTGCTGCTGGAGCTGGAGTTTCTTTGGCAGCTGAGGGTGCTGGTGCCGCGGGTCCCGGAGGTGCTCGTACTGGGAGTACTGGAGCTGCTGGGCCTGCGGGTACGACTTGAGCTGGAGCTGCTGAGGGTGTTGGCACTGAGGCTACTGCTGTCGGTCTTGGAGGCGGTCCTACTGGGGGTGCTACTGGTGCTGCTGGGGGTACTGGAGCTGGAGGTGCTGTTGGCGCTGGTGCTGCCGCTGGGGGTGCTGGTGCTGTCCCTGCTGTGTACGGAGTCGCCGCGCGGCCTCGGCCGTACTTCGTTCCGCTCCTTCAGCAGGTTCTTGGTCTCCCGCCTTCCCCTGGTCCTCCTCCTCCCTTAGAGTGTCCACAGCCTGTCCCGTCCCGGTTACAGTTACAGCCGGCCTCCCCATTGCCTGCTCCTTCTCCCTACACTGGTCCTACTGGAGGTATTGCTGAGCGTCGTGAGCCTGCGTCTCGCCCTGCGTCGCCTGTCCGTGCTGCTCGCACTAGTGGTCGCGGTTCGCGTCACCGTCCTCCTCCTGTCCCTGGCACGCATTAATTGTCTCTGCGTGCGTGCACTGCTCCTCTACGTGCCCCTTTGCCTTCTCCTCCTGAGTCCTGTCTTCCTGCTCTTGCCGACCCGGAGTCGGACTCTCTTCGTGCTGCCAGTCCTACTGTCATGCGTCTCCTTGCTATTGTCGTCACTGACCCTTCCTTTGAGCCCACTGCTGCGTCTGCCCTAGTTGCTGAGCTTGTCAAACATTATATATGTAGTTGTGTTTGTTTAGGCTACAGTGGGTTAGCCTATAGGGGGTACACAATTCTAGGGTTAGGTACTTGTACTGTTTTCACTGCTAGTTCATTTCATTCCTGTTCAGTTATTCCAACATGGTATAGAGCAGGTCCTTCCTAGGACCGATTTTTGGAAGGGCCCACCACTACCTACCTACCTACCTACCTACTTGCGCCCTAGGGCGCCTCGGTTTTGTCACGCCCCTAAAGGCCCCGAACGGCCCACCGCGATCGCCCTGCCCTAACTGAGCCGCCCTAACTGCTTCTCCTACTGCTACTGCTGCTACTTCTACTGTTCCTATGGCTAGCCCACAGGTTCTAGTTTTCGATGCTGAGGGCCGCCCAGTGAAGTTTGACACCTGGCTAGATGACCTGCACCTCTACCTACAGCTCACAGCCAAGGATGACATCTCACTGTACGACCACGCCCTAGGCCATGTCCCTGCCCCTGCTGCTACTGCTGACAGCACTGCTCGCTCACAGTGGCAGACTCGTGATGCCCACGCTCGCTTCGCTATTCGCAACTCCCTGCCGATAGATGAACGCGAGCACTTTGGCCAGCACAAGACTGCACAGCCACTGTACACAGTTGTAGTTGCTCGCTACTCCTCACCTGCCTCTGCCGCACTAGGCCGTCTCTCCCTCCCCTACATGTTTCCCGACCTGGCCTCGTTCCACACAGTTGCTGACCTCATCACGCACCTCCGTACTAGTGAGGCCCGCTTCCGTGCCGCCATGCCCGCTGAGTTCCTTGCCACGCACCCCCCTCCACTCTGGCTCACTCTCTACCACCTAGTCACCCGCCTCCCTGACACACTTCGTGCTGTCAGGGACCACTTCCTAGCTCGCTGCCCCACTGAGCTCACCATTGCCCTCCTTGAGAAGGAACTGCTTGCAGCTGAGACTAGCACAGTCGCTGTAGGTGCCTCTCGTGGCGACCCCTGTACCCCGTTCTTTGAGGGGTGTTCTCCTTCCCCCCTTCTTCCCTCTGTCGCCTCTGCTGCTGCTGTCGACCTTCTTGGTACTGAGAAGGTCGGCACAGCGTCTGCTTCGAGCGGGCGCCGCAGCGGCAAGGGCAAAGGGGGCAAGGGTGGTGGTGGTGACGGCGGGGGAGGCGGCGGTGGGGGCGGTGGAGGCGGCGGGGGTGGTGGCACGACTGGAGGGACTAGTGGCAGCGGTGGGGGTGGTGGCGGCAGCGGCGGGGGAGGTGGCAGGGGCGGAGGCGGTAGTTGGGGTGGCGGTGGACGAGGCGGCGGCAGGGGTTGGGGTGGTCGAGGAGGTGGCGGCAGTGGTGGTTGTCGTGGAGGCGCTAGCGGTGGCAAGCGCCAGCAGCACACTCCTTCGCCCCAGGAGGTCCGTGAGTGGTACTCTCTGCACGGGGGTGGGGGTGGCATTAGCTGCACGTACGTCATTCGCACTGGTGACTGCACTGGTCAGCAGTGTGGACGACCGCACGCCACACAGCGCTGCTTCGCTCGTCTTGACGACGCTTGGCGTGTTCAGTTCCCTCAGGCCACGGAGCTGCCCTGCTGGATTGATCTCCTGAAGAAGGGGATTGATATCTATGCTCTAGACTTTGATGCTATTCTATCTGCTATGTATGTGATGTCTACTAGTGGAGAGGGAGCTGAGTACTTGTGTGTGCCGCCCGACCCTGGCATTAGGGCTAGTGCGTCTGCCGCTCCAGGTACTCGCGTGTCGGCTACCCCAGGTGCTGGTGAGGCGGCTGCTCTAGGTGCTTGTGTGTTTGCCCCCTTTGGTACTGAGTCGACTGCAGCACTGCACACCTTCACACTGGACTCAGGTGCTTCTCGGTGCTTCTTTCGTGACCGCACTGCCCTTGAGCCGCTTGCTCGGCCAGTTGCTGTCTCCCTTGCTGACCCCTCTGGGGGTCCGGTCATTGCGACCTCTTCCACTGTCCTTCCTTGTCCTGCGGTCCCGTCGGGCACACTGTTAGGTCTTCACCTCCCCTCGTTCTCTACGAACTTGGTGGCAAGATGTGCGCTCCAGGACGGGGGTGTTCACCAGTTCACCCCTGCCTACGAGCGCGTGACACACTATACGTGTGCTCGTACGGGCCGTCAGTTGGCTACCTTCACTCGGCAGCCGGGGTCGGACCTGTACACACTGACTACTGAGTCCCCTCAGGTTGCTGCGTCTGTGTCTGCGTCCGCGTCAGGTCAGCTGTCGGCCCCCTTCTCGTGTCGCTCTCTTGCACACGAGACTTTCCTCAGGCACCACCGCCTTGGCCACCCGTCTGTGCAGCGGCTTCGTGCCATGCACTCCCGGTACCTTGTCTCTGGCCTGCCCAGGGTCCTTCCTCCCCTCCCACCCTCACCTACTCCTACCTGTCTCCCCTGTGTCGAGGGACGGCAGCGAGCCGCTCCTCACTCCTCCTCGTTTCCCCCGACGACTGCTCCCTTGCAGACGCTCCACATGGACGTGTGGGGCCCAGCCCGCGTCCGTGGTCAGGGTCAGGAGAGGTACTTCCTGATAGTTGTTGACGACTACTCGCGCTACACCTCGGTCTTCCCCTTGCGCACCAAGGGTGAGGTCCCTGATGTCTTGATCCCTTGGATCCGCAGAGTCCGTCTCCAGCTCAGCGAGCGTTTTCACGCGGACTTTCCTGTCCTGCGCTTGCACTCTGACAGAGGTGGTGAGTTCTCCTCCGACCTCTTGGCAGCCCACTGTGCTGAGCACGGCATTGAGTAGTTGTTCACACTTCCGTCCTCTCCACAGCAGAATGGGGTTGCGGAGCGCCGCATTGGCCTGGTCATGGAGGTCGCCCGTACCTCCTTGATCCATGCGACTGCCCCCCACTTTCTGTGGCCGTTTGCGGTCCGGTACGCTGCGCATCAGCTCAACCTCTGGCCCCGTGTCTCCTTGACGGAGACCTCGCCCACATTGCTGTGGACGGGTGAGGTTGGCGATGCGTCGCGTTTCCGGGTTTGGGGATCTCGAGCTTTTGTCCGCGATACGTCTGCGGACAAGCTCTCCTCCCGTGCTGTTCCCTGCGTCTTCCTCGGCTTTGTCCCAGACGCGCCTGGTTGGCACTTTTACCACGCCACATCGCGCCGAGTCTTGCCCTCTCAGGACGTCACTTTTGACGAGTCCGTCCCCTACTACCGCCTCTTCCCCTACCGCACTGCCCCGCTCCCCCCCCCCCCCCCCGCCTCTCTTCCTCGCGTCAGGTGCTGCTGTTGTAGACCCCCTCCCCCCTCAGGGTGCCGCTCCCTCAGGTGTGTCTCAGGTAGACCCGGTTGAGCCTGTTGAGGTCGCTGTCAACTCTCGTCCCGCTGGGGGTGCTGAGCCTGGGGGTGCTGAGCCTGGGGGGGTGGAGCCTGGGGGTGCTGAGCCTGGGGGTGTGGAGCCTGGGGGTGCTGAGCCTGGGGGTGTGGAGCCTGGGGGTGCTGAGCTTGAGGGTACTGGGCCTGGGAGTGTGGAGCCTGGGGGTGCTGAGCCTGGGGGTGCTGAGCTTCGGCGTGCTGAGCCGCAGAGTCAGGAGTCTGGGGGTTCTGAGTCTGGAGGTACTGAGCCTGGGAGTCCTACACCTGGAGGAGCCCTCTCCTTGGAGCAGCTGCGTGAGTGGTACTTATAGTACTGCAGCCTCAGGAGAGGCACCTCTGGAGCCGGGCGTGCTACTGAGACTGGTGCTAGAACTTCTCCTAGTCGGGAGCTACCCTCCCGTGAGCGGATCCGTGAGTGGTACGAGCGGCGCTGCACTCTTCGGAGTGGCGCGCCTCGTGTCACGGACCCCGCTGCCGTTAGAGCTGCTGCTGGTGCTGCGGACCCGGGCGTTGGAGCTGCTACTGGTGCTGCGGACCCGAGTGTTGGAGCTGCTGCTGGTGCTGCGGACCAGGGCGTTGGAGCTGCTGCTGGTGCTTCAGACCCGGGCGTTGGAGCTGCTGCTGGTGCTGCGGACCCGGGTGTTGGAGCTGCTGCTGGTGCTGCGGACCCGGGTGTTGGAGCTGCTGCTCGTGCTGAGGACCTTGGTGCGGGTGTCTCTGCTGGTTCTGGTGCCGCTGCACGGCCGTGGTCGTACTTTGTTCCGCTCCTTCAGGAGGTTCTTGGTCCGCTCACTCCTCTGTGTCCTCCTTCCTCCTTAGGGTGTCCTCCGTCTGCCCAGCTGCCGTCGGAGCTACCGTCTGCCTCCTCACTCCCTGGTCCTGCTCCTTACACTGGTCCAACTGGAGGTCTTACTGAGCGTCGTGAGCCTGAGTCTCGTCCTGCGTCGCCTGAGCCTCGTCGTGCGTCGCCTGTCCGTACTGCTCTCTCTAGTAGTCGTGTCCCGCGTCAGCGTCTTCCTGCTGTCCCAGGCACTCATTGGATGGCGCTTCGTCCGTCCACTGCTCCACAGCATGTCCCACTGCCGTCTCCTCCTGCTTCCTCTCTTCCTGCTCTTGCTGACCCAGGGTCAGACTCCCTTCGTACTGCGAGTACTACTGTCACGCATCTCGTGGCTACTGTTGTCACTGACCCTTCCTTTGAGTCCGCTGCTGCGTGTGCCTTAGTTGCTGAGCTTGTCGACTTTGCTGCCACCTGTCGTCTAGACTACGCCGCTAGCCTAGTTGCTAAGTCTGAGTCTGTCTGTCCTCTGTCCGTCGGGGGTGAGCGTGCTCTTGGCACTGACGTCCTTCAGGACAGGCAGGAGGAGTTTGAGTGCTTTGCTGCCGCTTTGCCCCATCTCGTGTCCATGCTTGTTGCCCTTGAGGGAGACCCGGATGCACCAGACATCCCGGCCCCACGCTCTTACGCGGAGGCGATGGCTGGTCCCTACTCCTCTTAGTGGCAGTCGGCCATGGACACAGAGATGGCTTCCTGGAAGTCCACAGGCACCTACGTCGACGAGGTTCCCCCACCTGGGGCGAACATCGTCAGTGGCATGTGGATTTTCAGGGTGAAGCGGCCGCCGGGCTCTCCGCCTGTCTTCAAGGCGCGTTATGTTGCACGAGGCTTCAGTTAGCGAGAGGGAGTTGACTTCTTCCAGACCTTCTCCCCGACCCCGAAGATGACCACTCTTCGGGTTCTGCTGCACGTCGCCGCTCACCGGGACTACGAGCTCCACTCGCTTGACTTCAGCACTGCTTTCCTGCAGGGCAGCCTGCACGAGGAGATCTTGCTACGCCGTCCACCTGGCTTCACTGGGTCGTTCCCTCCTGGTACCCAGTGGAGCCTCCGACGGCCAGTCTACGGTCTCCGCCAGGCGCCACGTAAGTGGCACGACACACTGAGGACTACACTTGCGGCTCTTGGGTTCGCGCCTTCTATTGCTGACTCGTCGCTGTTTCTACGCACCGACACCTCACTGCCGCCGTTCTACGTCCTTGTGTACGTCGACGACTTGGTCTTTGCCACTGCTGACACTACGGCACTCGCCCACGTGAAGTCGGAGCTGCAAAAGAGACACACGTGCACAGAACTGGGTGAACTGACAAGCTATCTTGGCTTGCGGATCACCCGGGACAGAGCACGCCGCACCATCACCTTGACTCAGTCACACATGGTGCACCAGGTTCTTCAGCACTTCCGCTTCACGTACTCCTCGCCTCAGCCCACTCCTCTGCCTACCAGTCACTCGCTCTCAGCTCTGCCTTCGAATGAGTCCGTAGAGTCGAGTGGCCCGTATCCAGAGCTTGTGGGTTGCCTCATGTACCTGATGACCTGCACTCGACGTGACCTTGCATACCTTCTGAGCATTCTTGCACGCTATGTCGCTCCCGGCCGTCACCGAAAGGAACACATGGATGCAGCTAAGAGGGTGTTGCGCTACTTGTGCAGTACGTTGGGCATGGGGCTAGTGCTTGGAGGGCGAGTCCCAATTGTTCTCACTGGGCACTCAGACGCTTCTTGGGCAGACGACCAGGCTACTCAGCGGTCGTCTCAGGGTTACTCCTTCAGTCTTGGCTCTGGTTCAGTTTCTTGGCGTTCTACTCGCTCTTCTTCTGTTCTCAGCTCCAGTTGTGAGGCTGAGATCTACACCACAGCCATGGCGGCCCAGGAGCTACGCTGGCTCACCTACTTGCTGACCGACCTTGGAGAGCAGCCTCGTTCTCCTCCAGTGCTGTACGTCGACAACAAGGCAGCCATTGCCTTTTGTCAGGAGCACAGACTGGAGCAGAGAACGAAGCACATTGCTCTGCGTTACTTCCTTGCTCGAGAGCTGCTGCAGCGAGGTCAGCTTCGTCTGCGTTACGTGGCCTCTGAGGCCAACACTGCTGATGTGTTCACCAAGGCGCTTCAGCCTTGTGACCATCAGCGCTTTTGCACTCTTCTAGGCCTTGTGCCTACTGTACCTCACTTGCTTACTTCTTGAGTGTGTTTGTACTGTGATCACTATATATATATACCTGCATGTTTACTCTTGCTAGGTTGTGATCATTGTACCGCTTGCTCTATTATAAACCTGCATGTGAACTGGTCTTGTAACCATTTGCTTGTGCTCGGAATTTGTGTGGTATCCTTGAGATCCACCCTGAGCTTGTTTTGCCTTGCTTTGCCTAGACTGGTCTTGTGACCCCTAGTTCTCCCCCACTTCGCCTATGGGGGTGTGTCAAACATTACATATGTTGTTGTGTTTGTTTAGGCTACAGTGGGTTAGCCTATAGGGGGTACACAATTCTAGGGTTAGGTACTTGTACTGTTTTCACTACTAGTTGATTTCATTCCTGTTCAGTTATTCCAACAAAGCTCGTCGACTTTGCTGCTCGCTGTCGTCTAGACTACGCTGCTAGTCTTGTTGCTGAGTCTGCGTCTGACTGTCTTCCGTCGTCGGGGGTGAGAGTGCCCTTGGCACGGACGTCCTTGAGGACAGGCAGGAGGAGTTCCAGTGTGTGGCTGCTGCTTCACCTCATTTCGTGTCCGTACTACTTACCCCTGAGGGAGACCCGGATGCACTAGACATCTCGACTCCGCGCTCTTACGCGGAGGCGATAGAGGGTCCCTACTCCTCTCAGTGGCAGGCAGCTATGGACGCAGAGATGGCTTCCTGGAAGTCCACACGCACCTATGTTGACGAGGTTCCCCCAGCTGGGGCGAACATCGTTAGTGGCATGTGGACTTTCAGGGTGAAGCGGCCGCCGGGTTCTCCGCCTGTCTTCAAGGCGCGGTACGTTGCTCGTGGCTTCAGTCATCGGCAGGGAGTTGACTACTTTCAAACCTTCTCTCCCACCCTGAAGATGACCACTCTTCGGGTGCTGCTGCACATAGCCGCTCAGGGCGACAATGAGCTTCACTCTCTTGACTTCAGCACAGCTTTCCTGCAGGGCAGCCTGCACGAGGAGATCTGGTTGCGCCGCCCACTTGGCTTCACTGGGTCGTTTCCCCCTGGTACCCAGTGGAGCCTCCGGCGGCTAGTCTACGGTCTCCGCCAGGCGCCCCGTGAGTGGCACGACACACTGAGGACTACACTTGCGGCTCTTGGGTTTGCTCCTTCTACAGCCGACGCGTCGTTGTTTCTGCGCACTGACACCTCTCTGCCGCTGTTCTACATCCTCGTGTACGTCGACGACTTGGTCTTTGCCACAGCTGACACTGCTCGACTTGCCCACGTGAAGTCCGAGCTGCAGAAGAGACACACGTGCACAGACCTGGGTGAGCTGCGCAGCTACCTTGGCTTGTAGATCACCCGGGACAGAGCACACCGCACCATTACCTTGACTCAGTCACACATGGTGCAGCAGGTCCTTCAGCGCTTCGGCTCCACGTACTCCTCGCCTCAAGCCACTCCTCTGCCTACTCGCCACTCGCTCTCAGCTCTGCCTTCGGATCAGTCCGTAGAGTCGAGTGGCCCGTACCCAGAGCTTGTTGGCTGCCTCATGTACCTGATGACCTGCACTCGACCTGACCTTGCATACCCTCTTAGCATTCTCGCACGCTATGTTGCTCCTGGGAGACACAAACTGGAGCACATGGCTGCAGCGAAGAGGGTGTTGCGCTACTTGTGCACTACGTTGGGCATGGGGCTTGTGCTTGGAGGGCAGAGTCTAGTGGTCCTCAGTGGGCACGTAGACGCTTCTTGGGCTGACGACCAGGCTACGCAGCGGTCGTCACTAGGTTACACCTTCAGCCTCGGTTCTGGCTCTGTTTTGTGGCGGGCTACCCGCTCGTCTTCTGTTCTCGGCTCCAGTTGTGAGGCTGAGATCTACGCCGGGGCCATGGCTGCACAGGAGCTTCGCTGGCTCACCTACTTGCTGACTGACCTTGGAGAGCCGCCTCGTTCTCCTCCAGTGCTGTACGTAGACAACAAGGCCATGGTGGCCTTGTGTCGAGAGCAGAGACTGGAGCACAGAACGAAGCACATTGCTCTTCACTACTTCCTTGCTCGTGAGCTGCAGCAGCGTGGTCAGCTGCGTCTTCCGTACGTGGCCTCTGAGGCCAATACTGCTGATAGCTTCACTAAGGCGCTTGCGCCTTGTGATCATCAGCGCTTCTGTACTCAGCTGGGTCTTGTACCTGCCTTGCCCAAGTTGGATATTGAACTGAAGTCGACCTGCGTTCGGATTTTTACGTTCACTATCCAAACGTGTGTACGCACGAAAATTCATGAGGCTAGCGACCATTCACGGAGCCGGATTCGGTCACGAACTGCACCGCCTAACCAGGCAACCTATGAAAGTTTAGCGCGACTCGGGATTTAGTTGAACTATGATGGTCGAACTGTGTTGTTCCATACGCGACTCGGACTTGTTTATGGTGCTCCTCGATCACCCAAAGTAGAGATTGTCGACCTCAGGTAGACCAAAGTTCAAATGTAAATTCGAGAAAAAAACCTAACTTTCCAAATTTGCAAAAGACGCGCCCTAACGAGATGTCCGCAATTCGGCGCTGAAGCTCAACCACACAACAGGCTTCACATCAGAGTAGCAGCAATGGCCGCTCCTGGTAAGAGTCCCGAAGTTGATGCAACGAATACTCGCAATAGTGTCGACGACGGACGCAATGACCGCATGAGCAACATATCAGCCGAGATATACCAAAACAGCGGCGCCATACTAAATATGCCCTATACCGGCACCACTAGAAGCAGTTTCGGCTGCAGCGGCAGCCCATTCAGCATTTCCGATTCTCGTTCGTTGGACGAACTTCCCTCCGACGTACTCCTTATAGTCTTCTCCTTCTTTTCCCGCGAAACCCTCGCGGCCTCCGCCGCTGTTAGCCGGAAATGGCGCCACTTGGCGAGCTCTGATTCGCTGTGGGAGGACCTGCTGCGATCCGAAGATCCCGAGGGATGGCCGATGGTGGTCTTCGCTGAAACTCAGCTGAGGCTCGGGCGAGGGAGCAGGTGAGGCTCGGGCGAGGGAGCAGGTGAGGCTCGGGCGAGGGAGCAGGTGAGGCTCGGGCGAGGGAGCAGGTGAGGCTCGGGTGAGGGAGCAGGTGAGGAGACATTGAGAATTCCAGAAAAACGTCGAATTTGAGTTGTCCTACTATCTGTTGTGCATGGCGAAGTGGGTGTGGCGAAACAGGAGCGGAGTGAAATGACAGCTGCCAGAAGCACCAACCCCACTGGGCACCCCCGTGCACGTGGCAGACCATATGGCAGTGAACCGGAGGCCAGACCCTCGGGAATGACGAGGTGCCGCGAGCAGCAGCAGATGCTGCTGGGGCAGTGCGGCGGTAGCAGGATCGCGTGCCTGCCGTGGTGTGCCATCTACCGCCTGCGCGCCCAGCTGCCGCCCGCTGTCGTTGTCGATGGTGCGCTGCCCACGCTGCATTCCCCGTGCTCTCATTCCACGCCGCATTCCCCGTGCTCTCATTCCACGCCGCATTCCCCGTGCTCTCATTCCACGCTGCATTCCCCGTGCTCTCATTCCATGCCGCATTCCCCGTGCTCTCATTCCACGCCGCATTCCCCGTGCTCTCATTCCACGCCGCATTCCCCGTGCTCTCATTCCACGCCGCATTCCCCGTGCTCTCATTCCACGCCGCATTCCCCGTGCTCTCATTCCACGCCGCATTCCCCGTGCTCTCATTCCACGCTGCATTCCCCGTGCTCTCATTCCATGCCGCATTCCCCGTGCTCTCATTCCACGCCGCATTCCCCGTGCTCTCATTCCACGCCGCATTCCCCGTGCTCTCATTCCATGCCGCATTCCTCGTGCTCTCATTCTACACCGCATTCCCCGTGCTCTCATTCCACGCCGCATTCCCCGTGCTCTCATTCCACGCCGCATTCCCCGTGCTCTCATTCCACGCCGCATTCCCCGTGCTCTCATTCCACTCCGCATTCCCCGTGCTCTCATTCCACGCCGCATTCCCCGTGCTCTCATTCCACGCCGCATTCCCAGCCTCTCCCCGCCTCTTTACTCTTATCCACGCCTCTGGACACCTCTCCTCGCCGCGCCATGCCTCTTTCCACGCCTCTCCACGCCCCTATACAACCTTTAATTGAGTGTGTGTGGGAGTGCAGGCGGGTCGGGGTACTGCAAGTTTGGCATGAGCAACGACGCAGCGCCATCAGGACGCATCGCCACCTTTCTGGTCAGTCCGTTTTGATAATTGTCTGAAGCACGTCTGGTTTGCCACATGGGAGCTCCCTTCCGTTCTGCTTCGTACCATTCGCTCTTCTTTTATTTCCTGCCATTAAGTACGTTTTCTCACATTTGTCGCTCTCCCACCCACCATGCTGTGGTTGCTGGGAGAGCGGCACGCTGTGGTTGCTGCCACCCAAACCAGGAGTTTGGAAACATCGAGGCACCTTCCCTCGCCCGCCTTCGAGCCCTCTTCTCCTCCATCTATGCCAGGTACTTAATGACTTCAGCATACCTTTCAAGTGGTGCAGACATGCATGCAAAGGATGCAGGCACATGCTGTGCCTTGTGCCTTACCTTCAGTACTCCTTGTAACATTCCCAATGTTATCCCTTTTTCCTTCCATTTTATTCCCTTAATATCAATCCCTCCTATGCCCTTCCCTCCATTTCCCTGTCTTCCCTCGCTGTCTTCTTCCCTTCACCCGTCCCGTTCTTTGTTCTTCTGCATTCTTGCTTCCCTCCATTTCCCTCTCTGTCGCCCATGCTTCTTCCCCATCTATCTCCATCCGCCCTCACAGCATGCGAGCCATTCCCGCCAACCACCCAGTTGTCGTCTCCGAGCCTCTCGCTTTCCTGCCAGGTGACTCTCTCGTGCCACCTGCCAGGTGACTCTGTCGTGCCACCTGCCAGGTGACTCTCTCGTGCCACGTGCCAGCCGTTACGTGTTGTTTCCTTCCAAGTGCTTCTCTGCTGGCATGCGTCCACCTACAGGGCAGCAGTGTTGCTAATCTGCAATTCATCATGCCTGCCTGCATTCTCAACGTGACATCCTGCCCTCACCCTGCCCGCCCTCCCATCCTCCCCATGCCCATCTCTCCTCTGCACACACAGAAACGCGTGAGGCGCAGGAGGGGAGGCGGCATCTGAGGGAGGTGACATGTGCCGTGCTCTTCAGTGCCCTGCGCGTGCCCTCCATCTGCCTTGTCGACCAGGTAACCCCATGCAACCAGGTAACCCCATGCGACCAGGTAACCCCATGCGACCAGGTAACCCCATGCAACCAGGTAATCCCATGCGACCAGGTAACCCCATGCGACCAGGTAACCCCATGCGACCAGGTAACCTCATGCGACCAGGTAACCCCATGCAACCAGGTAACCCCATGCGACCAGGTAACCCCATGCGACCAGGTAACCCCATGCGACCAGGTAACCCCATGCGACCAGGTAACCCCATGCGACCAGGTAACCCCATGCAACCAGGTAACCCCATGCGACCAGGTAACCCCATGCGACCAGGTAACCCCATGCAACCAGGTAACCCCATGCGACCAGGTAACCCCATGCAACCAGGTAACCCCATTCCACCAGGTAACCCCATTCCACCAGGTAACCCCATTCCACCAGGTAACCCCACACTCTGATACCAAATATGTCTACTTCAACTAGTTACTTCTTTATACGTCCACTCTGTCGCCATCCCCACTCCCCCTCGCCCATCCCTTCTCCCTTCACCGTCTCATCTGTCATCCATGCCCCTCTCTCCTCCCTTTCCCTGCCGTTGCCACCCACCCAGGCCACCCTGGCCCTGTTGGCAGCGGGGGCAGCATCAGGCGTGGTGGTGAACATTGGCTTCCGCAGCACCACAATACTTCCCATCATGCGAGGCCGCACCGCATGCAGCCTGCTGCCCTTCTACTGCCTGCCGCTGGGCGCCATGCGAGTCACGGGGCACCTCAGCCAGTTACTGCACGATTCTGGGATCGTGTGCCAGTCCATGTTCACTGTGCGCACCGTCAAAGAGGTCAGTTCTATCGTATCATTTATTGGCTTAGTTGCGTTACTGAAGGCGCCTGCCTAGGTGTGTTACTGAAGGCGCCTGCCTAGGTGTGTTACTGAAGGCGCCTGCCTAGGTGTGTTACTGAAGGCGCCTGCCTAGGTGTGTTACTGAAGGCGCCTGCCTAGGTGTGTTACAAGCTCCTCTTCTTATTATTCCTCGCATCCCTGCCCTCAGTTTCTCATGGCTCACAGGCTCTCGCAATAACTTTCAGCACCCCACTGCATCATGCTTGTCACCCCAACCCCCTCCCTCCCCTCCCGCAGTCGCTGTGCTTTGTGGCGAGCGACTTCCAGGCTCTTGCTGTAACTTTCTGCACATCTTCATTCGGCATCCCACTCCTTCCTGCTTTTCACCCCAACCACCCCCACCCCCCCCTCCCTCCTCCCACAGTCGCTGTGCTTTGTGGCGCGGGACTTTGAGGCAGCGAGGAGGGGCGAGGAGAGGGGGGTGCGGGGCACGTGTGAGGTGCCGGGGGAGGGTGCCTTCACTCTCACCAGGGAGCGCTTCCTCGCCCCTGAAGTGCTCTTTCAACCTCACCTCTGTGGCCTGTGCGTTTACTTTCCTCAATGTGGTCAATGGGGTCAATGTGCTCTATCAGCTGTTTTATCTTGTGCTCACATGGTTGTTCTTCTCTCCTTACTGCTGCGTGCATGTGACAACCGCATTGTCGCTCGTAGTCTTCCCCGTTGATCTCCCCTCACTCGTTTCGTCTCCCCCCCCCACTCACACGTGCTTTTCTCCCTCTCACCCCACGCCCTCACCCCCTCCTCCTCCTCCTCCCTTCCCCCATCAGCGGCGGCAGGGGCATACAGCAGGCAGTGGCGCAATGCATAGTGGAGTGTGCTGCCCGGGTGAAGGCGTTTCAGGCGCAGCAGGACTGGAAGGCCCGACACAGCCACGCGGGAGAGGCACCGGCTGCAGATGAGGAGAAGGAGGAGAAAGGGGGGGAGGAGGGTGAGCGAGTGCCTGGGGCGGGGCCAGGGGGTGAAGGTACCACGAGGCGGGTGGGAAGTGGGGAGGGGGAGTCAGGGACGGGTGGGGGGGTGTGGGGGCGAGTGCCTGCGCCACTGTCAAGTGAGGATGTGGCGGAGGCGATCGGCACCGTGGTGGTGGCGGGGGGCACGTCTGCGCTGCCAGGGATAGCAGGTGGGGCCCTTTGTTCCTTCGTACAGCCTCCGAGTGGGAATGACGAGAGATTATACGATGATGTTTCTCTGTGAAAAGCCTTCCTGTATCTGTTCCGCTAACCTGATTTTCCGCTGCTGTCCTCTTCTGTGCCTCTGCTGCTCTTGTTGATTCACATCCGTTGGTCCCATCCCATCCGCACAGAGCGGCTTCATCTAGAGCTGCAGCGCCTGCTTCCCCCGCCCCTCGCTGACAGACTCACTGTGAAGGCAGTGGGGCCTTATGGTGCATGGATGGGCGGCAGGACCGTTGCCACTGTGAGTGTTATTGGCTGTGACTGATCACTTCGTTATGACCGTATGTGTGACTTACGGTATATAAATGATCCTTCTAATATATGTTTCTTCTTCCCGTGCTTTTTGGAATGCAGACGAGCTCGTTTTTATCAGCATGGGCGCTAAGCAGGGAGGAGTATATGGAGAAAGGACCGTCTTCTGTTCATGCCCTTGCCATGGATACGCACAACATGAACAGCCAGGCTCTTCCTGTTGTAAGAATATTCCCCAAGCCTTGATGGAGAGTGTAACATATGATGAAGTGTGATATTGCCACAACGTTTTCATGAAAGGCTGTAGCCACTAGATGTGTGCTGGTTGTCTTCAAAATAATTTAGTGGGAACGGTTTTTTGCATGTAGCCACCAGTTGTCGAGGTGTAGCAAGTTTATGACTATCAAGGCAGATTTGTAGAGATGGCCGACTGTGCTGATTCGCGTCGCGCTGACATGAAGCTACTCCAATCGGTACTAAAACATATGTTCTAGACTCTATCTCGCAGCTTTTAGAATGCACCGCTCAGTCTCCCATCCTTGCAGTCGTTATCGAGCCATGTTTCTCAAATGATGTCCATCATTCACTGCTGAAGCTCGTCGTCGCTCACATCAGAGTAGCAGCAATGGCCGCTGCTGGCGAGAATCTTGATACTGACGCTATGAATGCTCGCAGAAGCGATGACCTCACGAGCACGATATCAACCCACATCTACCAAAACAGCAGCGTCATTCCAAGTATGCCTCTTACCAGCAACAACCCAGTCAATGGTTCCGATTCTCGTTCGCTAGACCAACTTCCATCCGATGTACTCTCTATAGTCTTCTCCTTCCTTTCCGGAAAATCCCTCGCCACCGCCGCTGCTGTTAGCTGGAAATGGCGCCACTTTGCGAGCTCTGATTCGCTGTGGGAGATCCTGCTGCGATCCGAAGATCCCGAGAGATGGCCGATGGTGGTCTTCGCTGAAACTCAGCTGAGGCTGGGGCGAGGGAGTAGGTGAGGCTGGCGTGAGAGAACAAGCGATGTGACATTGAGAATTCGCCGTCGAGTGTGAGATGCTATACCACATGTGAGATGCTGTACTATGTGTCTTGAAATCCTTACTTGAGTGGCGAAGCGGGTGAGGCGAAACAGGAGCGGTGTGCAGTGTCAGCCCAGGGAGCACGAATGCCAGACGCACCAACCCCATGGGACGGAACGCACCTGCTCTTCTGCCCCTAGTGCCATTGCCTGTCCCGTCCCCACACTCCCCCGTGCACCCAGCAGGCCAAATGACGGCGAATCTTAGGCCGGCCTGCCGTGGTGTGCCATCTACCGCCTGCACGCCCAGCTGCCACCCGCTGTCGTTGTCGATGGTGCGCTGCCCACGCCGCATCTTCCCTGCTCTAATTCCACGCCACATTCCCAGCCTCTCCATGCCTCTCCACACTTCTCCACCCCTTTTCACGCCTCTCTATGAACTCTGGTACCCAGGCATCAAATATATGTGTGTGTGTGTGGGGCAGGGCTCTTGCTAACTTTTAGGCCCGTCTGACGTTTTCCAAAAAAAAAAAAAATCGTCTGGCCCTCATATGGAGGATTCCAAGTGGTCTTTGCCTCAGACGGATTTTCTAAGTTAGTATGTCCGCTCAGACAGATTTTTACGAAATCAGACATTTATTTAACTATGTAATCTACTATACACACCGACTATACTCTATTAGTACAGATAACCATACAAAGAAAACGAACTAGGATTCACTATCGCTATCATGAGAATAATCTTCCTCATCGTCCCCGACTAGCTCTGAATCTGAAGCCATGTGCACTTTGCCGTGGCCTGCCCGTCTCTGCCAGGGGCCCAACTCCTCCTCTAGTCTGGCTGCTTCTTTTGCAGCTGCTGCTTCACGACCAGCAGCATCTGCTGTTGCTGCTGCTGTTGCTGCCGCCTGCTTCGCGGCCAGCATCGCAAGGGTCTTCTTCGTGCGCTTCACGGGCCTCTGCGCATGCACCATCACCACATCCTTGGCTGGACGCCTCCTCTTCGCGCCTCTCCACAGCTCCACAAGGGCGGGCCAGTCAGGTTCGTACTTCAGCATGGAGACGGTCATCAGGTTGCCCAGCTTCGCGTCGTTAAGATTGCCGCGTAGCCAGCTCTTGATGATGTTCAGGAGGGAGAAGCCCCGCTCGCACTCCACGGTGCTCAACAGCAGCACTGCAACTACCATCCAAAGGCGGACCAGGTTGGGGTAGGCAGTGCACCAGTCGGGGGAGCTGAGCATCTGCTTCAGGCCGTCCTGGAAGCTCACCTCCTGTTGATGGGATGACATGATGGTGGTGAAACTGCTGAGCTTCTTCTGTGCCCTCGTCCAGTTGACTCCTGGTGGCAGGGTGCGAATCAGAAAGAAGTGTAGTGTTACACCGCACTGGTGTTCATAAGTCATCAGGCTCAAGGAAATCAACGAGGCATATGGCGAAACAAACAACATGTCCGACTCAATCAGGCACAACCTGTCAAACTCATATGCTATAGTTTGCGTAGGCTGTAGTGGGGTAGACAATATGGGGTACAACACTTTTAAGTTTTCCTACTTGTACCCACCTGCTTGCTAGTTCATTCATTCCTCATTTCTTCACATGGTAAAGAGCAAGTTCCCTAGTGGGAACGCTTCCTGGGGCCCACCACTGAAAATCGAAAATATGTTTTTTTCTGACCGGAGCGCGAGTCGCCCCTGCCCGACGCGCGCCTCGTGGGCCGCCCTCTCGTCGCGTCCCCTGCCCTTAGCGGCCTGTCGCGCCCTCCTAGAGGCCCCTCTCACGGCCCCTCGCGCCACCCCTAGCGGCCCCGTTGCCGCCCTTAGCGACCTCGTCGCCACCCCTAGCAGCCCCGTCGCCACCCTTCGCGGCCCCGTCGCCGCCCCTAGTGGCCTCGTCGCTGCCCTTCGCGACACCGTCGCCGCTCGTTACAGCCGCTCGTCACCGTATGTTAAACCGACCGTGTGTTCAACCCACCGTGTGTTCAACCCACCGTGTGTTAAACCCACCGTGTGTTCAACCCACCGTGTGTTCAACACACCGTGTGTTCAACCCACCGTGTGTTCAACCCACCGTCTGTTAAACCTACCGTGTGTTCAACCCAACGTGTGTTCAACCCACCGTATGTTCAACCCACCGTGTGTTCAACCTACCGTGTGTTCAACCCACCGTGTGTTCAACCCACCGTTTCTTCAACCCACCGTGTGTTAAACCTACCGTGTGTTCAACCCACTGTGTGTTCAACCCACCGTGTGTTCAACCCACCGTGTGTTCAACCCACCGTGTGTTCAACCCACCATATGTTAAACCCACCGTGTGTTCAACCCACCCTGTGTTCAACCCACCGTGTGTTCAACACACCGTGTGTTCAACACATCGTGTGTTCAACCCACAGTGTGTTCAACCCACCGTATGTTCAACCCACCGTGTGTTCAACCCACCGTATGTTAAACCTACCGTGTGTTCAACCCACCGTGTGTTCAACCCACTGTGTGTTGAACCCACCGTGTATTCAACCCACCGTGTGTTAAACCCACCGTGTGTTCAACCCACCGTGTGTTCAACACACCGTGTGTTCAACCCACCGTGTGTTCAACCCACCGTGTGTTAAACCTACCGTGTGTTCAACCCACCGTGTGTTCAACCCACCGTGTGTTCAACCCATTGTATGTTAAACCCTCCGTGTGTTAAACCCACCGTGTGTTAAACCCACCGTGTGTTAAACCTACCGTGTGTTCAACCCACCGTGTATTCAACCCACCGTGTGTTCAACCCACCGTGTGTTAAACCTATCTTGTGTTCAACCCACCGTGTGTTCAACCCACCGTGTGTTCAACCCACCGTGTGTTCAACCCACCGTGTGTTAAACCCACCGTTTGTTCAACCCACCGTGTGTTCAACACACCGTGTGTTCAACCCACCGTGTGTTAAACCCACTGTGTGTTCAACCCACCGTGTGTTCAACCCACCATGTGTTCAACCCACCGTGTGTTAAACCCACCGTGTGTTCAACCCATTGTATGTTAAACCCACCGTGTGTTAAACTCACCATGTATTAAACCCACAGTGTGTTAAACCCACTGTGTGTTAAACCCACCGTGTGTTAAACCTACCGTCTGTTCAACCCACCGTGTGTTAAACCCACAGTGTGTTAAACCCACCGTGTGTTAAACCTACCGTGTGTTCAACCCACCGTATGTTGAACCCACCGTATGTTCAACCCATAGTGTGTTAAACCTACCGTGTGTTCAACCCACCGTCTATTCAACCCACCGTGTGTTAAACCCACCGTGTGTTAAACCCACCGTGTGTTCAACCCAACGTTTGTTCAACCCACCGTGTGTTCAACCTACCGTGTGTTAAACCCACCGTGTGTTCAACCCACCGTGTGTTCAACCCACTGTGTGTTAAACCTACCGTGTGTTAAGCCCACCGGGTGTTCAACCCACCGTGTGTTCAACCCACCGTGTGTTAAACCCACCGTGTGTTCAACCCAACGTTTGTTCAACGCACCGTGTGTTAAACCTACCGGGTGTTCAACCCACTGTGTGTTCCACCAACCGTGTATTCAACCCACCATGTGTTCAACCTATCGTGTGTTCAACCCACCGTGTGTTCAAACCAACGTGTGTTAAACCCACTGTGTGTTCAACCAACCGTGTGTTCAACCCACTGTGTGTTCAACCCACCGTGTGCTCAACCCACCGTGTGTTCAACCTACCATGTGTTGTTCAACACACCGTGTGTTCAACCCATCTTGTGTTCAACCCACTGTGTGTTCAACCCACCGTGGGTTCAACCCACTATGGGTTCAATCCACCGTGTGTTTAACCCACCGTGTGTTCAACCTACCGTGTGTTCAACCTACCGTATGTTCAACCCACCGTGTGTTCAACCCACCGTGTGTTAAACCCACCGTGTGTTCAACCCACCGTGTGTTTAACCCACCGTGTGTTGAACCCACCGTGTGTTCAACCCACCGTATGTTCAACCCACCAT